GGGGGGGGGGGGATATACCAACTTGGAGAAAATTTCATGTGTAAGTGTTACAAAGTTGAGAATCCTGATCAAGTTGAATTCATAACCGCCTTGGAAGAACTACACTTCATGTGAAAATGTCACCCAAATATTGCTGATACAACATATGAAGATCTAGATTTCATTCAATGCATTTTTCTTCGACTTTTTAAACAATAGATCATGGACCTGACCCACTGTGTAATGGCAAGGGGCCTAATTGCATAAAATAAGTTGTTTGATATTCATTGAAGAAAATCAAGAGAAGACATATTGGAGAGGATTTAAATATATATCGAGCCTACATATTTAGTTTCCTTGATAACAGATATTATTCCAGCTCAGTAAAAATTCCAATCCACCAGGCTGTACCATTTAACTCCTGTATACACAACTGTTGCTGGATGTACCTTATTCAGGTAATTCACAAGGCATGGCATGAGAAATCAAGAGGTTGCAGCTTTGTAAAGTTTGGTAATCTGGGTCTCTGGTAGACCTGAAGCCCTCATATTTTAGGCATAAGGAATGAAAGAAAACATTGAACGAAAAGGAAAATCAGTGGACACCAATACAGAAGAATAACCACACATGTCCGGCCAATCTTCATTGACTTTCAAAGATGTTTATCAAACGAACACACAATCGAAGAAAACATAAAAGACTCGGTGGGTGAGTCGCAACAGTCTATTTACCAGTAAAGAAAATAAGTACTAAGCAAAATGATTAGTCTGTATACTTGCTACAGGATAAGGTAAACAGATCATCATAACATAGAGTCCAGGCCAGAGCCGGATGGATTAAGTACATCATGCTCCTAATTGTCTGATGATCTCAACATCCGCATAATGGTAAGAAAGAGGTTCAGAATATCCAGATAAAGGGTGACTGATGCCCAAATGTACTCATCATATGTAAATCGCTTAATCAGGTTGTCTGTATCATAAACGATATAGCCAGAGAAAATAATGGCACTGATTCCACTGTAGATGGCAACAGATGTAGATCCAAGTGGGAAGAACATCTGCATAGTATTAAAGGCAATAACAGATCAGATTCATATCCCATTAAAAAATTAGGTGTGTGTAACAGTGGGTGTTTGTATCTTCACAGCCAGAAATAATAAGGGAAAAAAGGGGTATATAACCTGAATAAACCCGGTCAAGAAGAGCACCATGAGGCTGGTGAACAAGATTGGTCCCAGATAGCTGAAGTCCTTGCCCCTCTTAGAAGCCCAGAAAGTGTATCCAGTCAGAGATGCAACCACAGCTGATGTCAAAATCAAAGCTTCGAGCACAATTCTTCCTGTTTATTCCAAATACAAAAAGATATCAACAAACAAATTTACAAACTTGATGAAGTGCTGCGCAGGGAAAACATCACATGAATATATGGAGGTGAACAAAGAACTACCAACCTTCTGTATTGGCACAGCTCACGCCAACAGTGAGACTCAGGGACACGGTAAAGAGTCCAAGGAAAACCAAATTCAGTGGGTGCTTTTGCTGATAAATGTGCAAGGGCCACAACACTGCAGATGATTTGTGATCATAACGAGAAAGTGCTAGCATGTAAATACTTGAAAACAATGCAGAAAATAACAAAAATGAATGAGACACAGATTTCTAATAGTAGTCGTCTGAATTACTCTAGAATTATTCATTATCCTCATTGAGACCTTACACCACAATATGCAATTAATTAGAAGGCTTCTTTGCACTTCTTGGACAGTGTAAAGAATTAACACAAGAATTGCAGATCACATATCAAGAGCTAAACAAGGCAAACAGCAGTAAGGCCGTAAGGCTCAAATGGTCATGATACAAGACCCATTCAACAAGTGCAGATATGATGAAGATGATACATAATTTCCAGTTGTAACAACGATAGATTGACATTCAACAGAAAGCAGAATATACCCAAAAAGAGGCACAAATTGATTTTAATATTCAGCGAAAGAGACTAATCCGTGTACAGAAACATAAGGAATACATTAGCAATTTTTTTTTGAAATGGTTTATAAAGTCGATCCTCAATTCTCCAGCAATTGACAACAAACACACACACACACACACACAACGGTGGAAACGACAAAGTAATTTAGTAGTCAAAATCCCCAAATATCTCTTTCTCTAATTTTAATAACAAAAAAAAACACATGATAACCCAAATATACATATAGGTACACATGAGACATACACCGATCTGAACCCTCGTTCATATCAAACCATCGAAATTATCAAACATAGCAACCCCACACTTCTAATTCACAAAGAAAACACACAAAACAATCGCTAAACACACACACACGAATTGCTGTAGGTAAATGATGGTGGATCTAATCCTAGACGAAGGGTAAGAAAATTGTGCAAATTTTGATAAATTCATGAAGTGGATGTGCGTGTGAATGTATAGAATTGAAATTTTTAGGGCTTACAGAGGAGGGGTAAGAAGAGGAGGAAGAGCAAGAGGCCGGAATTTCCCCTGAGGAGGTCATTGATGGGTGAATATAGGACGGTGACAGAGGAGACGGCGGTGGTGAGGACGATCTGGGCGGCAAGGATTCCGTAGACCTTGCGAATGAAACCCCAACGGAGTTGGTTCTCTCCGTACCCTATACCAGGGTACAGAGTCCCCTCCTCTATGTCTCCCTTCGTACTCACGCTTGTGAACCCCTTCATCTTCTCTCTCTCTCTCTCCGCGTCTGTGAAGATTAGGAGAGACAAGTAGCGATTAGAAAGATCACCGAAAGAGTTTGGTTGGTTAAGGGACTTCGTGGTTGTCGTAGATTCGGGGGTGTTCTCGTAATTTCGCTTTGGTTGGGACTTTGCTTAGAAATTTCCGTTTGGCCTTCCCGCTGCCAAACGGAAATAAATAATTTAAAAATAAATATGCGAATAAAAAATAAATAAACATATATCAATATGCGAATAAAAAATAAATAAATAATTTAAAAATTATTTTAAAAAAAATATTAGTTGAAATATATCAAAACAATTATATAAACATATCAAAATATTGCAAAACACTTCAAAATATTATGAAACACTTCTGATTATTAGAATTTCGATTTCATCATCGATTCATTTTGATTTTTTTGAAAATAGAAAATTTTCAACTATTTCAATACGAAAATTTAAATTTTTGTCAATATATTCCGCTCATTGTTTCAATAGTTTGGAAATGAAAACATTAAGAAATTATTATGGAAAGAAGATGAAAATATAATTAAAATTAAAATTTATTTATGATATTTTGGTCAAAATATACCAAAATATTAGTTAAAATATAAAATTTTTTATATCCAATCAACGATTCGTTTCGATTTTCATTTAAACGAAAATATTTAAGACGTTTTGACATTTTGAAACAAAATTTGATTCCTTACGTGTGATGCATAAGAACATCTCCAATTATGACTTAAATTTTTACTCAAATTTAAATTAATATTTGAATAAACTCAAATTTAAAAAAGAAGAAAACCAAATATAAAATAGAGTAAAAATAATCATTAGATCTTGTAAAAGATGATAAAATATCACTATTAAAAATTTGAGTAAGAATTTGAACCTCTTTTTATTTAAGTAAAAAAAATGAATCTCCCTTAATTTAATATAACTTAAACCACAATTCCACTATTGCTAGAGATTTTTTTTTTTTTTTGGTTCAATGGTTTGAGTATTTAAATTAATTTATGCTCACCTCGATTGATCTCCTTCCCGATCCGACAAGATTTTCGATAATCCACATGAATGGCCAAAAGAAGTAAAAAAATGAATACTCAAGTGAAACATTTTAGTTCCCTCCTTTGCCTCACTTCTTTTAGAAAACCCATCATTCATGGGCACCTTACTGACAATTGCTACTCAGTAATCCATGAGGACCTTAAGAATATGTAATCAAAAATAGTAAAATATACTGCTTTTAAGTCAAGGAATGAACAGCATGGGTAATTTAGAAGTCAAGGAATGTCCAACAGATATGGAGAGAAGCATATATTTTACGCACAGAAGCCAACAAAAGCCCCCACTCTATCAATTCAGACAGAAACTCAAGCTCCACAGCATGGTCACCTCCAAATCCCTTGCAGCAGATGATCAATTGCGATGGTGCTTTTCTACACGTCACCAAACATGCTGCTTTGGGGGTTGTTATTTTAGAGACAACAAAGGCATCCTACACCACCGAATAAAGTGATCCAATGGAATATCGGTCGAACTTTTCATTCTGAGATTAGATGTTTGAGTCTTGGAGTTCACATTAAAACTCGGTGATTGATCACTATGTTAACCTAGTTACGTTTGTTCATGAGAGGTATAACAAGCACGGTTAAAGGACTAATTCCACCAGTGAGAGTCTATCAAGATAATCTCTAAGCACTTTCTTTTGTCCCACTCTTTTTTTCAATAGCAAAAAAAAAAAAAAAACAAACAAAGGTGTCCTACTGGAAGGCAACGTAACACCTTTTAAAGCCATGTCAAGTCGTGCAGTTGAAGCAGAAGCAGAAGTAGAAGCAGTTAGAAAGGCTTGCCCCATGGTCCAATCCATATAGCTGAGGAATGCAGTACTGGAAAGTGATAACCAAGAGGTAATTTTTCTAAGCACTACGGAAGGGTGTTCCACCATTGGAGATTGAAGAAGCTACAATCGAAGATATCAGAGAATGTGCTAGATTACTAAATCTACATTTTTCCTTTGTATCCCGAGCTCATCAAAGCAGCTCATTGGGTAATCAAAGCCGAACTAACCCATTCTCTGCCAAGGAATTGGGTAGGCTGTATACCATATGAGTTTGAGGGATATTTTGCTTCTTGATTGTAATGATCAGCTTTATTAGTTAATGAAAGTTTCGAAATAGTTCAAAAAAAAGTTATCCATAAGCACCTTAAGAACCTGTAATCACGTAATGAACGACCCTCAAACTTAATTAAAAAAAAAATTGCATTCTTGAAATCAGTAAATAATTTAAAAAAGAAATTCCTAGATTCTAAGAAATTCCTAGTAAAATCCTTCACAAAAAGAGACAAACTTGCCTACTATGAATGCAAGATACAGACATACCAATGTGGAAGGCACTTTTATAACCTAAACAATAGGATATCATGTTGATAGTTTTCCTCTACCAACAAAAGTTTATGTGTAATGCACTTTTAAACTAGTATTTGGGGACACAAACTCCAGGCATATGCAAGTTTGTCAAACAAACAAGCCAACAATGCACCAGTGCAAATTATCTACCTAAAAATTGGGCATAACAATTGGTTAGATTTAAATCGATTCTGAAAATGTTTTTGTTATCCATGTGGGGGCTTCCTGTACTTGCATACCATATTAGTGTGTTAACAACTTGCACAAAATTCTGCATGTACAAGTATATGAGGTGGAGGATAAATGTGTCAGTTTTTTATTTTTCAGTATATAAAAAACTCTATCCTATTCGAAATTTGAAAGACTAATACCTTCAGATAACTTCTTAGTTATCATTTTCCTCCTGCACTTTAAACCAAATCCAGTAAGGTACTTATGATATAAGAGAGCAGATTTGAACGTGACAGACAGTACAGGATTTCCTCGGGAGCTTCAGCCGTTTTGAAGGATATCCCCTATACATGTCTCGACATGATGAGAATTATCTTTGCAAAGTCTATTTACAAGAGAATGGCAAACACATTCACTGAGTGCATAACCTATTTTAAACATGTAACCCAACACCAGTAAAGCATCATCCAACTTATCTCCTTGTGAGAGAACTTGAACTAGTCTCTCAAAAGTTTCTTTCTGGGGTTTGAGCCTACTCTTTAGCATAGTGGCCAACCATTCAATCCCCTCTGCAACATATCCTTGTTCACTCAACCCAATTAGGATCGAGTCATTATTACACGCCACTGGTTTCACACCCCTATCCTGCATATCTTTCCACAATGTTTTTGCTTCATCCATGTGCCCCAACTGGCAAAGTTTTTCGATTAGCACAGTACAAGAGGAAGTTGTTGGCTGCAAACCCTGCTCTAGAAGTTCATATAAATACTTTGTACCCTCGACTATCTTCCCTTCCTTACAGAAACCCTGAACCAGAGAATTGTATGTGATGGAATCACGAGTGATACCATTCTCATCCATCTGTTTGAACAAGGCATGAGCTTCTTCTACCCTTCCGTGTAAGCACAACCCGCTAATCATGGTGTTGTAACTCACTGTGGTCTTGCTGTAACCTCTGTCACACATCTCCTTATAAAGCTTCCGGACTTCATTAAATTGACCAGTTTTGCAAAACCCATAGATGAGTGCATTGTATGTGTACTCACTGGGAATGATTCCCTTTTGAATCATCTCAAACCACAACTTCCGCGCATCCCCCAGCCATTTCATCTTACAAAGACCATTAATCATTGTGGTATACATGACCCTATCTGGAACATACCCTCTATCCTTAAGATCATTAAAAATCCGAAAACCTTCATGCCTCATTTTTCTCTTGCATAACCCATGTATAATTTCCTGGTAAGTGTATATATCCGGAGCATGATTTTTTGCAATCATTGTATGAAGAAGTATTGATACTTTATTGTAACACCTATCCTTACAAAACCCAGACATCAATCTATTGAAAGAGACCTTACTAGGAACGTGCCCATCTTCCAAAACTTGCCGTAGGAGTTCATGACCTTTGATAAATTTTTCCTCAATACAAAATGCTTGAATTAGATACCCAATCGTGTCAACATCCACTATAACACCACATTCGATCATATCAACATACAATTTCCAAACAAGATCAGTTCGTCTAGCTCTAATTGCACCCAATAAAGCCGAATTCCATGTCACCAGAGACGGCCACTTTCCCATCCTCTTCAACTGATCAAACACATCATTAGCTTCTTCAATCAACCCATTTCCACATAAACATTGTATGTAAGCCTCCAAACAAGCCGGTTCTGGCCCAAACTTAGTAGAATCAAGAAAATTCCTTGCTGCATTAGCAGCCTTAGCCTCCACAAGACCGGTAAAAATCTCATTACACAGCAACGAATCTGGCAAAACCCCATTTTGAGAGCTAACCCAATTAAAGAACCGAAGCGACAAAAACACATTTTTTTGGTGCATCAAGACCTCACGGAAAAAATGAGGATCCCCAAAATTTATGGTGGGAAAATCAGAGAGAATTGTCTGTTCCCATCTGGGTCGGGTTCGAATGATTTTCGAAACCTCTCTGGCAATTTCAATGAAGTTTTGATTGTCATACCGATTGGAATTTATTGGGTCTTGGTTTTGCTGATTGAATTCTGTTCCATCGTTGCTAGCACCAATGTTTCGGATTTGGGAATTAGGGTTTTGGAGGGTACGAGGAGTTGGGCGGCGGAGGATTAGGTTTGTGAAGGAAGGTGGTGATCTCGCCATGATCAATTCACTGATTCATACAAACAATCAGCATATGCTAATACATTTCGGTGAGTATTGCGTGTGTGTGTGTGTGTATATATATATATATATATATATATATCAGGTAAGGAAAGATTGATGGGTTGTGAAAGATTGAAACTGAACTTACAGATTCGTCGGAAGCTTCGAAGAATAAGATAAAAGTAACTAGTCCGCTGCAAATATACCAACCACTACGTAGCCACCACCAAAACGCTACTTCCACAAGCTCGACGGTCGACCACGAAAAGAGCTCCAATCCAATCCCACCCAATCAATCTTCACTTTTCGATTTTCATCACAATCCCAAGTAGAACAACTGTGCGATTAACTCTGATTCATTTGCATTTTGTTGTTTCTGTGTTGTTGATTTTAATTTAGAAAATGAGTTTGAAATTCGAATAACCAACAGCTTTCTGGTGAATGGATAGGAGCTAATTCTTAAAATTGAAAACAGAGGGATTTGATTGCAATATAATCCAAATTTCATGGGGATAAAGTGTAATTAACCAATAAGTAAAACACTTGTAATATTAGGTGGGACCATCCTCTCCACATGTGGGCTCTATGAACCCACTACATTTATATAAACAGATAAGCTATGATGTTCACTCTAATATATTTTTTATTTAATTTTTTTGTTAATAAATCCAAAAGATAAATTAAATTTAAATAGGACACATTAACTCATTTAATTTTTTTTCCTTTCGTAGCAAATTATATATCATATGTTAATGAGAGGCTCACTTATATGGAATAGGTCCCACTTAAATTTATGGTAATTGATCTATCAAAAAAAAAAATTATATTGAAGATAGAAATGTTAAAATATGATATAATTCGTTAAAACGATACGAAATTAAAGGATTTTGGTATTCTTTAAACTAATATTTTGTAAACGAGTGAACCACCCAATTAATAAACTAATCGAGTATAAGTAAACTCAATTAAAAAAAATATACGACACGACTCTATTATTTTAAGGGTGTTAAGCGAGTTTGAGTCCGAGCCAAGCTCATTTTTCAAAGTAAGACTAAACAATATTTAAGCTCGACTTGTTTTTTAAAAAATGAGCACGAGCCGAGTTCAAAATGGGTCAAAGTTGAGTTGACCCTGAGTAATTCGATTATTTTATTTATAATCAAGTCAAATTTTGTGAACTTGAATCCAAAATAAATCTAAGTTTCAAGCCTAATTATTCAAACTCAGCTCATTTTATAATCGAAAGAGCTCGAGTCAAACTAAAATGAGTCACGTTTGAGTTGAGCTTACGTAATTCAAATCATTATGGTCTAATGGAATACTAGTCTTACTCCTCACCTTGAAGGTGGGAATTCGAGTCTTGGAGTCTCTATTAGGGTTTGGTGGTTGACTGCTATACTAGCCTAGTTAATTCTAGTCCCGAGAAGTGTTTCAAGCACGGTCAGGAGTTTTATGATCCCACCAGTGAGGCCCTATCGAAGTGGTTGATAAACTCTCTTCCTTGCCCCCACCCCTTTTCTAACCAGCAAAAGTTAAAAAATAAAAAAAAAATACTAGTAATTATCCTCGGTTCATACACATAAATCTAGTACAACATGAGTTATTAAAGATAAATTAATAAATAAATTAAATATTAATAAAATAAAACTTCACACCGGCCTGTCTCACCCGATCCCGATTGACAGGCCTAATTGAAGCGGATATACATGATCCTAACAGGCAATCTACACCGTCCAAACGCAGTCGAATAGACCGTATCCACCGACCTAGGTGCCGTAGTCCAGTTCCGGACCCTCCTTCCTCACTCAACAGCGACCTACTCACTCCACAGGAGAGAGAGAGAGAGAGAGAGAGAAGCCTGAGCCACGCCAAAATCTGATGCCAAATCATTCAAATTCCGATTCCGATCGCTCAATTCTATTGGGCAAACAAAATCAAACAATTGCAGAGGAATTGGCCGGAATGGGCCAATTTTGGGCCACAATGCATGGGATTTATGTCTCCAGAACTGGTTTGAACAGTTGGATTACAGCTTAAAGGAGTGGCATTCTGTGTATATTACCTATATTTCTGGGGTTACAAAACTCTAACTGGGTCTTTTCTCCGATATGCGAATGTAAAACCCTAAAGGTTCGATTCTGAGTCTTGATGGCTTGAGTTTGTTCTAGTTGTTTATTCGATTTATGCGAGTTGTATTTGTCTCCTTTTTTTTTTTTTTT